CCCATTGGCAGTCCCAAAAAATGGTCCACAAATTAATGATTATTGTTTCCAATATAGGATATAGATGCAACATTGATTAAAGTATGTGGACTACTTATTAGTTTCATGAACCCTAAAATAACAGTTACTATACATATCCTTACTGACCTAAAAATAAGCTTGAATCTCCATTTAAAACATAAGCCTATATTAAGCAACTTAAGAATTAAATATGTCATTTATATTGCAATCTTGTCCTTCAAAAGCTAGTCTTTGAAGTAACAGCATTTTGAAACCAAAATGAAAGTATTAACACCACATGTAATCGTTCAGAGGTGATGTCTCAAAGATTGACAGATTTCACCTGATTTATGCTATTGATTCTGCAGGAGAAGGGGATCCTATGTTCTATCTTCTGGATATTCAGATTTCTGTAATTTAAAGTAAAAGTTAAATTGCATTGAGTATTTTATATATATTTGGATTCTTACCACCAATGGTCATAGAAACTCAACTTAAGAGCAGACCCGCCTCTATCCTCAACTATTTCACAAAGACTAGCTATATATAGCTTTGGGACTCACAAATCATCTGTTCATCACCTTATTTTATGTCTCTTCTCTAGTTCTCATCAGTTTCTTGGTTTATTCGGTTTACTCTTCCCTAGTATCAATTCATTCCAAGGTGACTGGCTACTCAAAGACCCTCTGATGTGAGTCATTAAATACTTTGTATTTCCAATTTGTTCACAGATACCTTTTTGGTAGCACTATCTCTATTGCATTGTCTCTCTAAATTGTAACAGGTCCTTTACTTGTGATTCTTGCCTTTATTCAGTTCCAAAGACTTAGTGATGATCACTCTCTGTTTTTAAGTCCTGATGAGCTGATCACTGATAGAGTCCCCAAGATTAAGAATAGCAGCTTTCAAGTTACTGTGATTATATACTTGCTTGATTTTTACGTGGGTATTGCCAGTTGGATTTAATGACTGTTCATTTAATCAGGACCCAAATTCATTAGTTATGATTTTATGATCTCAGGTTTCTGTCCTTCAACAACACAGCCAATTTGATCACTTCAGGTAAGTCCTTTAAAAGAAAGTACCATTCTTAGTTCTTATGTAGATTGTGGCTACCCAGATGCCTTTTTTCTTTTTCCTATCTGGCATCATCAAATGGTTGTATTAGTTAGCATTTTGGTTACTACATTTTGAAACAGGCCAGAGATTCAAGGGAAAGAAATTGTGTAAGAAAACAAGCCTGGTTACCATGGCAAACAGACAGTACAGTATTTCCCAGGAGAAATGTAAATCATTGATCAAGATTTTTATCACTTTGTCAGTCATCTTTGATATCTTGAAATACATCTATCTTAATATGAATCAGATTATAATAATAGAAATATGAAGTTATGGCCAACATAGAATTCCTACATTCTAAAATGAATAAATATAGTTTTGAGCCAGAGAAAGAAAATACTAGACATGTTTCCAAACTATATGGACAACCAAGAAAGACTAACAGTCCATATTGTTTAAAGACAGCTAGGAACTGAAGTTGGCACAATAAACTCAGTGATGCAGAGGAGAGTATGGTGGGACTAAGTGATACCTAAACTACAACTGAACAAAGTAAAATGCATCCAAAATGGGTTTACAGTTCATGATGAAACACTCATTTAATTGCAAGAATTAAAGAGAAGCATTAAAAAAAAGATTCCACCCTACCAAAAAGTTAAATAAAATTCTTGCCACATTGACAAGAAATAAGAAGCTGGCTAAAACGATTTAAAACAACCACCATTTATTGAAGATCTATAAATGCTAGGCTGTTTCTGGTGCTAAGAATAGAAAGAGAGGGCAGGCATAGTGGCTCATGCCTGTAATTTCAACACTTTGGGAGGAGAGGTGAGCAGATCACTTGAGGTCAGAAGTTCAAGACAAGCCTGACCAACATGATGAAACCCCGTCTCTATTAAAAACACAAAAATTAGCTGGGTGTAGTGGCGTGTGAGGGAGGCTGAGGTACGAGACTCACTTCAACCCAAGAGACAGTTTGCAGTGAGCTGAGGTCACACTACTTTACTCCAGCCTGGGTGACAGAGGAAGGCTCTGTCAAAAAAAAAAAAAAAAAAAAAAAAAAAAAAGAAAGAAAGAGAAGTAAGAAGACACTGTACTCACTGGTGAACTAGTCAAGGGGACAACAGCTTTATCACTCATTACAATACTATGATAGATGAGATAATTGAGGAATAGCAAAATTTTATGCAAGCATAGTAACCTGAGAGGTCATCTTATTCCTGATATCTACAGTTCTAGCTGCATGCACACAGACCTGAGTTAGAAATTGGTATGGCTCATAGCAGATAGAAAGTCTCTCTATAGCTCATTTTTATACATATTCTACAGACTTGGGCATATGCTTTATATAAACATGCATTCACCATGAAGAAACAGTAGAAACTTGGCAGGGCATGGTGGCTCATGCCTGTAATCCCAATATTTTGGGAGGCCAAGGCAAGCAGATTTGAGGTTAGGATTTTGAGAACAGCCTGGCCAACATGACAAAACCCTGTCTCTACTAAAAATAAAAAAAATAAAATAAAATAAATATTAGCCACTCATGGTGGTGCATGCCTGTAATCCCAGCTACTTGGGAGGCTGAGGCATGAGAATCACTTGAACCCAGGAGGCAGAGGTTTCAGTGAGCTGAGATTGTGTCACCGCACTTCAGCTTGAATGACAGAGCAAGACCTTGTCTCTAAAAACAAACAAAAAGCATTAGAAATTCAATAAAGGATGATAAAGTAAAAAACCCAAGAAGTTAGCAACGTGCAGTAGTATGAACAGATTTGAACAATTTGTAGTGACTCTAAGTTACTAAATAAGAAAGTTTAGTGATTTGAGAGATTTGTAAGAAAAACATAGAAAAATAAACTCATATTTTCAACAAAAACTTTAGGTAGGTAGAAAAAAGCTTTTTTAAAAAAACTTCTTTTGGAGACTGGGATAAAATGAAATTTTAGTAAATAGTAATTATAATAAAACTTTAGTGAAATTCAAAATAATTGCTTTCTAAAGTGATGCACACTTTGATAATATTTATTTTGAATCAATTGTATTACAAAGGTATACTTTATTATTTTATTTTTTTGAGAAAAGAAGAACTCTTCCTGTCCAACACACATTCACCTGGTAGAATGTAAGTAATATAAAGCAATACCAAGTTTGAGGACCTGGGCCTTATGGGCACATGTGTTTGACCATGACGTTAGATGTTTGTGAAACTGAAGAACTAAGTATATATGTCAATAAATTACCTGTAGGATGTGGTCGTATTTTTAAAATAAGAGTTGGGAAGATTTAATAACTGGAGGGATTAGGGTGTTTATCGGAAAATATTTATCTTAGAAAATTCTCAGACTCAGAATACAGCTGTGTCTACTAATGGCTCAACCCTCAGGAAATTCTATACAGAATTTGACATGCCTAAACCTGCACTAATATATTCATTCATTCATTTATTCTTCTGCCAATTTACATTTACTGAATTCACACCAGACCCTCAGGATACGAAGACACGGTTTTTCAAAGACTTTAAATCCAGTGCCTTAGACTCACAAGTAAAGAGTCTATTGCAATGCCAGTGTGATAGGGAACTAATGTACACAAAGCTCTCATGGTTGTTACTGGAGTAGTGCCTAGGTCAGGCTAGCCTGTGAAATATCTTTTAAATAAGATTCTCCACAAGTGTCTTTCGTGTTGACTTTTATAGGAGAAGAATGAGAGGTAGGTAGATTGATGGGCATGATGGCTCACACCTGTAATCCCAGCACTTTGGGAGGCCAAGGTGGGTGGATCACCTGAGGTCAGGAGTTCAAGACCAGTCTGACCAACATGGTAAAACCCCATCTCTACTAAAAATACAAAAATTAGCCAGGCATGGTGGTACATGTCTGCAGTTCAAGCTACTCAGGAGGCTGAGGCAGGAGAATCACTTGAACCTGAGAGGCAGAGGTTGTAGTGAGCTGAAATCACATCTCTGCACTCCAGGCTGGGTGACAGAGTGAGGCTCCTGTCAAAAAAAAAAAAAAAAAAAAAAAAAAAAAAAAAAAAAAAAGGCAGGTAATGAAAGGAAGAAGGCTAGAAAAAGGTATGTAGGAAACATTATTCAACCTTCAAAAACCCCACATGACTCAGGATGCCTGGACTATAGACTGGGAAAGGCAGATGATAGTGGATACCATCACTAGGTCATAGAGGACATTTTATGCCATATTTAAGACTTAGGATTTGTTTTGTAGGCTATGAAAAACCACTGAAAAATTTATAGCAAAGGAATGACATAATGAGATTTTCATTTTGGTAAGCTTATTCTAGCTGAAGTAAGATGAGAAACCAGCAAGGAGATTGATAAAACATTTAAGTGTGAAATAATGATATGGAGAAGGAGGACGGATTTTAGATTTGCAGCATGAACATGACTTGGTAAACAAATAAGATTGGTAGTTGAAGAAACTGAATGTGCTGGTGATAACTCCTAGATTTCTGGTGTGGAAAACTGGTTAGCTATATGCCTACTATCAGTATAGGAATAAAAGAAGAGAAGCAGATTTTGAGGGAAGTAAAATGAATATAATTGCGAACAAGGATTTGGGAAGTTACAAAACATTTGTGTTAACTAGAATCCTTCTATATTGAAGTATCTGGAGCTAAAAAGAAGGATCACATGTTAGTTTACTAGTGTTGCCATAACAAAATGCCACAGACTCGATGGTTTAGACAACACTAATTGATTTCTCAAAAATCTGGAGATGAGAATCCAAGATCCAGGTGTTGGCAAGTTTGGTTTCTTCAGAGGCTCTCTCCTTGGCTTGCAGATGGCTGCCTTCTCGCTGTATTCTCACATGGTCTTTCCTTTGTGCACACACACACACACAGACACACACACACACACACAAACCTCTGTTGTCTCTCTGTGTGTTCAGATTTCAAGTAGTTTCTAACTTCTCTCTCTTTCTTTTAATATGAGACACTTCAGAGATTTGCGTGTCTTCCTTGCCCAGGGGCTGTGCTAATCTTTTATGTATCCTTCTTTTTAGCATATGTACTGCCAAGGAGGGCACATATTTTCTTTTCTTTTCTTTTTTTTTTTAGGCACTCAAAAATAATTTTATTATTATTATTATTTTTTATTGCATTTTAGGTTTTGGGGTACATGTGAAGAACATGCAAGATTGTTGCATAGGTACACACATGGCAGTGTGTTTTGCTGTCTTCCGTCCCCTCACCTGTATCTGTCATTTCTCCCCATGCTATCTCTTCCCACCTCCCCACCCCCCGTCCCTCCCACATTTCCCCCCAACGGACCCCAGTGTGTAGTGCTCCCCTCCCTGTGTCCATGTGTTCTCATTGTTCAACACTCACCTATAAGTGAGAATATATGGTGTTTGATTTTCTGCTCTTGTGTCAGTTTGCTGAGAATGATGGTTTCCAGGTTCATCCATGTCCCTACAAAGGACGTGAACTCATCGTTTTTGATGGCTGCGTAATATTCCATGGTGTATATGTACCACATTTTCCCTATCCAGTCTATCATCGTTGGGCATTTGGGTTGGTTCCAGGTCTTTGCTATTGTAAACAGTGCTGCAATGAACATTCGTGTGCACGTGTCCTTGTAGTAGAATGATTTATAATCCTTTGGATATATACCCAGTAATGGGATTGCTGGGTCAAATGGGATTTCTATTTTTAGGTCCTTGAGGAATCGCCACACTGTCTTCCACAATGGTTGAATTAATTTACATTCCCACCAACAGTGTAAAAGTGTTCCTATTTCTCCACATCCTCTCCAGCATCTGTTGTTCCCAGATTTTTTAATGATCGCCATTCTAACTGGTGTGAGATGGTATCTCAATGTAGTTTTGATTTGCATTTCTCTGATGACCAGTGATGATGAGGATTTTTTCATATGTTTGTTGGCCTCCTGTATGTCTTCTTTTGTAAAGTATCTGTTCATATCCTTCACCCATTTTTGAATGGGCTTGTTTGTTTTTTTCTTGTAGATCTGCTTTAGTTCTTTGTAAATTCTGGATATCAGCCCCTTGTCAGATGGGTAGACGGCAAAAATATTTTCCCATTCTGTTGGTTGCCGATTCAATCTACTGACTGTTTCTTTTGCCATGCAGAAGCTGTGGAGTTTGATTAGGTCCCATTTGTTTATTTTGGCTTTTGTTGCCATTGCTTTTGGCGTTTTGGTCATGAAGTCCTTGCCTACACCTATGTCCTGAATGGTTTTGCCTAGATTTTCTTCTAGGGTTTTTATGGTGTTAGGTCTGATGTTTAAGTCTTTAATCCATCTGGAGTTAATTTTGGTGTAAGGTGTCAGGAAGGGGTCCTGTTTCTGCTTTCTGCACATGGCTAGCCAGTTTTCCCAACACCATTTATTAAACAGGGAGTCCTTTCCCCATTGCTTGTTTTTGTCAGGTTTGTCAAAGATCAGATGGTTGTGGGTATGTTGTATTTTCTGTGAGGCCTCTGTTCTGTTCCATTGGTCTATATCTCTGTTTTGGTACCAGTACCATGCTGTTTTGATTACTGTAGCCTTGTAGTATCGTTTGAAGTCCAGTAGTGTGATGCCTCCTGCTTTGTTCTTTTTGCTTAGAATTGACTTGGCTATGCGGGCTCTCTTTTGGTTCCATAGGAAGTTTAAGGTGTTTTTTTCCAGTTCTGTGAAGAAGGTCATTGGTAGCTTGATGGGAATAGCGTTGAATCTGTAAATTACTTTGGGCAGTACGGCCATTTTCACGATGTTGATTCTTCCTAACCATGAACATAGAATGTTTCTCCATCTGTTTGTATCCTCTCTTATTTCGTTGAGCAATGGCTTGTAGTTCTCCTTGAAGAGGTCCTTTACGTTCCTTGTCAGTTGTATTCCTAGGTATTTTATTCTCTTTGTAGCAATTGTGAATGGCAGTTCGTTCCTGATTTGGCTCTCTTTAAGTCTATTACTGGTGTATAGGAATGCTTGTGATTTTTGCACGTTGATTTTGTATCCTGAGACTTTGCTGAAGTTGTTTATCAGTTTCAGGAGATTTTGGGCTGAGATGATGGGGTCTTCCAGATATACAATCATGTCATCTGCAAATAGAGACAATCTGATTTCCTCCTTTCCAATTTGGATACCCTTTATTTCTTTTTCTTGCCTGATTGCTCTGGCTAGAACTTCCAGTACTATATTGAATAGGAGTGGTGAGAGAGGGCATCCTTGTCTAGTGCCAGATTTCAAAGGGAATGCTTCCAGTTTTTGCCCATTCAGTATGATATTGGCTGTTGGTTTGTCATAAATAGCTTTTATTGTTTTGAGATACGTTCCATCAATACCTAGTTTATTGAGGGTTTTTAGCATAAAGGGTTGTTGAATTTTGTCAAAAGGCTTCTCTGCATCAATTGAGATAATCATGTGGTTTTTGTCTTTGGTTCTGTTTATGTGGTAAATTACGTTTATTGACTTGCGTATGTTGAACCAGCCTTGCATCCCCGGGATGAATCCTACTTGATCATGGTGGATGAGCTTTTTGATATGCTGTTGCAATCGGTTTGCCAGTATTTTATTGAAGATTTTTGCATCTATGTTCATCATGGATATTGGCCTGAAATTTTCTTTTCTTGTTGAGTCTCTGCCAGGTTTTGGTATCAGGATGATGTTGGTCTTGTAAAATGATTTGGGAAGAATTCCCTCTTTTTGGATTGTCTGGAATAGTTTCAGAAGGAATGGTATCAGCTCCTCTTTGTATGTCTGGTATTCTTCTGGAATTCAGCTGTGGACCCATCTGGACCTGGGCTTTTTTTGGGTGGTAGGCTCTTTATTGCTGCCTCGACTTCAGACCATGTTATTGGTCTATTCAGGGTTTCGGCTTCTTCCAGGTTTAGGCTTGGGAGGATGCAGGTGTCCAGGAATTTATCCATTTCTTCCAGGTTTACTGGTTTATGTGCATAGAGTTGTTTGTAATAATCTCTGATGATGGTTTGGATTTCTGTGGAATCTGTGGTGATCTCCCCTTTATCGTTTTTTATTGCATCAATTTGGTTATTCTCTCTTTTCTTTTTTATTAATCTGGCTAGTGGTCTATTTTGTTGATCTTTTCAAAAAACCAGCTCCTGGATTTATTGATTTTTTGAAGAGTTTTTTGTGTCTCTATTTCCTTCAGTTCTGCTCTGATCTTAGTTATTTCCTGTCTTCTGCTAGGTTTTGAGTTTTTTTGATCTTGCTCCTCTAGCTCTTTCGATTTTGATGATAGGGTGTCAATTTTAGATCTCTCCTTTCTTCTCATGTGGGCACTCATTGCTATATATTTTCCTCTAGAGACTGCTTTTAATGTGTCCCAGAGATTCTGGTATGTTGTGTCTTCGTTTTGTATAAGGACACCAGTCAAATGGGATGAGGATCCTCCCTCATGGTCTTATTTTACCTAATTAATCACCTCTTTAAAGTCCCTATCTCCAAATACAGTCATATTTTAAAATACTGGGGGTTAGGGTTTCAGCATATGAATTTTTAGGGAGACACAAGTCAGCCTATCACAGATCTGATCTGCTAATAGATCTGGCTCATTGACTGTAGTTGGTAATTTAAAAGCATAACGGCAACAGATGGTATACCCAAAGCGAATGTGAAAACCAGGGTGAACTTTTGGCTGAGAAGAAACCAGTGAAATGTTATTATAGATGCAGAGAAAGGAGTTAACAGGGCTATCTACTTCAGAGGGGCCAGAGCAGTAGGTTACTTTGGAGAAAATTGTGTTATAAAAGCCAACAGAGACTTTTTAACAGGTAGGAGTGGTCAGTAGCTTTCATTACTCTGAAAATATCACCAACATGTCTGAAATGTAGCCATTGGATACAACATCAAAGGGTATATTGACAATTGTAGTGAGAATGGTTTTTGGAATAGAATTTCGAGTTTGAGTGAATGAATTGTAGGAAGTGAAAAATTTTTCTTTATATGAGAGTGAACTTTTCCTTTATGATTTTTTTCTATGTCACAAAGAAAAGGAAGGAGTAACAGGACTCAAAGATTTTCTAAAATGAGCATATGTCTACATTATAGTGAAAGGATCACTGAACGTAGGCTTAACATACTGTAGAACTAGGAGATAATCCATTAAGGAAGGTCCTGAGGAAGCAGAAGGAGATGAAAATAAAAGAACAGATGAGGATAAGCTTTGAAGAAAATAAAGATTGCTCTTTGAAGATAGGAAGATCATGAGAGGCTTAGACGAAGATAAATTTCCTAAAAAGGGGTGAGAATAAGCTGAGGAGGTTTTAGCAGGCATGTTTTGAGGAATAAGAATCAACTAAATCATGAGAGATTACTGTGTGATTGTTTCTTCTACCTACTTTCAGTGGAACTGAGTAAAGAAGGCACATGTAGAATAAGGCAGGTTTAAGGGTTATAATTGGGGAAATAGATCAAGGGGCAGAAAAAACTGGCAAAGCAGTGGTTGAAAGGGTGTAGCATTAGATATAAGCTGTGTAGAAGTGAAATGAAGCTTTGACAGAATGAAAATTTTGTAATAAACTTTGAGTCAGGAAACTGGAGGAAGTAATGAAGTCAAGGCAGGAGGGAAAGATGGTTTTGATCAGAAATTGATAACGTGGGAATTTAAGAGAAGGCTATATTTTCAAGTGATAATAAGTCCCAAGTTGAGGTGATATCAGCAAATATCTACAGAGAAGTTGAATAAATCGTCATTGGAATAAAAGATGACAACTAGTTTTAAGTGGTGAATGGGTCACAGATGTGGATGTTAAAATGCCGTAGAATGTTGGTAAGATCTGGTATAGAGAGGAGTCTCCTATGTATGAGAGCAGTGAAAAGAGGAGGCTGGAGACCATTTATGATTGAATTGCCTGGTTGCCTAGGAAGCGAGCTGGTTGCTGTTGTATGGTGAGTTGCCATGCTTATTTAATGTGACAAATATTTATTGAGTGGCTCCTGTATCCAGATCTCAGGTAGATCATCTATGGCAAGGGTCCCCAGTTCCTGGGCCATAGATTGGTATCAGTCTGTGGCCTGTTAGGAACCAGGCTACATAGCATGAGGTAAGCAGCAGGCATATGAGCA